GCAGGGTCAATGCAGCTAGCTATCAGGAGATTTTGGAGCACTTCATGCTTACATCTGCTGAAAAGCTTTATGGAGATGAAGATTTCATTTTTCAGCACGACCTGGCACCTGCTCACAGTGCCAAAACCACTGGTAAATGGTTTACTGACCATGGTATTACTGTGCTCAATTGGCCTGCCAACTCTCCTGACCTGAACCCCATAGAGAACCTGTGGGATATTGTGAAGAGAAAGTTGAGAGACGCAAGACCCAACACACTGGATGAGCTTAAGGCCGCTATCGAAGCATCCTGGGCCTCCATAACACCTCAGCAGTGCCACAGGCTGATTGCCTCCATGCCACGCCGCATTGAAGCAGTCATTCATGAAAAAGGATTCCCGACCAAGTATTGAGTGCATTACTGAACATGATTATTTGAAGGTTGGCGTTTTTTGTATTAAAAACACTTGTCTTTCATTGGTGGGATGAAATATGCTAATTTTTTGGGACAGGCATTTTGGGTTTTCATGAGCTGTATGCCATAATCATCAGTATTAAAACAATTAAAGACCTGAAATATTTCAGTTGGTGTGCAATGAATCTGAAATATATGAAAGTTTCATTTTTATCATTACATTATGGAAAATAATGACCTTTATCACAATATTCTAATGTTTTGAGAAGGACCTGTAGGTCCAAACCCCAAGGAACTCCATGACTAACTTTGGTTCATGAAGAAAATTTATTTAAATTTACAAACTGGAATACATCAGATAGATATCGTTTAAATCATTTTAGAGCCGTTCCTGTGATCCCAATATCATATTCAAGTCGCTGTACTAAAATATTGTGATCAATTTTAACAAATGCAGCACTGAGGTCTAACAGGACCAGTGTAGACACCTGTCCATTATCAGATGCCATGAGAATATCAGTAACTTTCACCAGTGACGTTTCTGTACACATTGAAGACCATGCACTCTGAAGAAATGCCCATCACTCGCTGCCTTTCATGAGTGTCTGAGATCATGCTGAGAAAAGAAATCCAGCTTTTTTTGTCAAATCCTGTTAATGATGCAATATCCAGAGGAAGACTCTGCTACCACACCATATTCTAGCTGCATGTTAAACTGAGTGTTCCATAATGTTGTTAGTGGTGGTGGCCATCTTGAACAGTTTCCATAGGTTCAGTCGTAAACATGTCCCATGATTATAGCTCCATTAAAATTCAGCCAGTGGTTCATGATATTTTGCTAACAATATTCAAATGTATATATTTTAACTTGATACTAATCTGCTGATTTATACACCTTCAATGACTTGAAACAAGTAAATTCAAAAACTGTTTTATTACAATTGATACAATAAATAAATAAACATTTTCCTTCAAACAACTGTTCTGAATTCTGTCTTCAAGCAGTGAAAATGCTGCCGTCATTCTCCTCAAGTCATTTCTTCAAACTCAAGACATGGTCGGACATTTTAGATTTATATTCAGCTGCAGAAACAAGTGGGACATTTCCGTAAAACGTGAAAACTTCTGTAATTTTAATAAACAAAGTGATTGTAAAGAAAAACCTTGTGAAAAAACTAATTCAGGCAGCCAATAAGGTGCCGTCAAACAGAAGAAATCATCAGAACGAGGTTTGTTTCTCAAGAAATAAACCAGTAAGTCGTCATTTGTCCTGTTAGTGTGTAAGGAAACTGGTTCAGATCAAAATCAAATCTAGATTGAGACCAACTACTGCATGTTTCATCTTTAATGAGACAAACATGTTGCTCTTCTTCATTTAAAAAAAAAAAAAAAAAAAAAAAGATTTAAAACTAGTTTCCTGAAATCAGCAGCCAGTGAAACCAGGTAAACGGTGGAGGAAAATTCTTTAGACCCTTAAAAACAAACATCTGTGCAGAGTAAAAACTAAAATCAGATCATATCATCCAAAGATCGTTCAGGTTTTATCATGAATTTGTTTCTCTGGAAGAATCAGAGGGAAAACAAACTGTCTTGAAACTACGCTACAGGACCAGAGGACGCACAGAAACAGGAAGTGTCATCCTTTAAGGATGAAAGCCGTCATGTCGAATAACGTCAGACCAGAATATTGTGAGTGGGGTTGAGATGTGGATATTTCAGCTGTTGGTGGTCAGACACCTGAGGCTGGTGGTTGTTGCTCAGAAACATTTTGTCCTTCAGATGCCGATATTCAACCTGCAGCAGCTTCAGCACCGCCCGTCGAGTCAAACCCAGACTCTGCAGAGCTCCTGGCCGAGCGCCTCTCACTCAGTCTTGGTGGTCTTGGTGTGGCGGCACAGGTACGTCTGGTAGAAGAAGTTGGCAAAGAGCAGCAGGTAGCTCAGATACATGAGCGTGGCCCAGGTGATGTTATCCAGGTGGGAGGGGCAGTCCCCCTGCTGCATCCAGCGGTACACCAGACCGCTCACCGTCAGCCCCATGCCCATCTGAGCTATCTGAGCGCTGGTGATGAGCACGGCAAAGGGGCGGGGCACGCGCAGCCCGGCAGCACGGGCAGCGTAATAACTGTACATGAGTGCGTGCACGGAGTAGTTCATGGTCATGAACCAGCCGCCCCCTGCCACCATGTCTTTGTAGGAGTACCAGGAGTAGAGCAGCACGGTGATGTGGTGGTACCAGTGCAGGAAAAGGAGCTTCTGTTTCCTGAGCACAATGAACGCAGTGTCACCTGACCAAGAAGAAAAACAAACAGTTAGTGATGACATCACAGAGTTAAATTAAAACATTACAATTAATAAAGTCATTTATTATTAGTAAATAATATTTTTTTATTATTGGTAATTAATTACAATTCAATTGTTATTGTTAAATATTATAATTAATTAAAATTAAGTAATTGGTATTGTTAATATTGTTATAATTTAATTAAATATTAAGCAATTAAATTAAATTAATTAATAATCATTATTATCCAAAATGTTGGTAGATCTGGTTCAATGCTCAAGTGGTTCACCTCCTACTGGACCAACAGAACTTTGTGTCATAATGGTACTTAGTCTTCCACTGCTGCACCTTTTTCTTGAGTACCACAGGGCACTATTCTTAGTCCACTTCTTTTGGATCAGTTGAGCCAGACAACACTTTTCCTCTACTGCTCTGCAGATCATCACAGATTTATTTACCCATGAAACCAGAGGTAATGACTTTCACACTTCTGTCGCCGACATTAAACTATAGTTTTAAGTGAACATCACTTCCAAGGTTCACATGCAAACAGAGTAACCCGTCCAGTTGTTGCACCCAGACTTTGTAACCAGCTTCCTCAGGACTTAAAGTCCATCTCGGACACGGGTATCTTGAAATCCAGCCTTAAAGCTTTTTTTTTTTTTTCCCCCGGCATATTGTGGCATTTTATTCTCCTCCTGTAAATCTTTTGTTTTAAATTCTAAAAATCCAGGCTTTGATTAAGTTCATTTCATTTTATCGTCATCATCATCATCAGTCTAGGACTGAGCCGAGACAGGTCAAGAGTTACCCCTGACCTTACTTGACCCTTGTGTGATAACAGTATGAACAAACTGGACTCACCGAGTTCTGGAGCCTTGCTGAGAACGAAGGCGTAGGCCCAGAACTTGCTGACGGGTCCATTGTAGAAGCTCTGGTCACAGATTGAGCGCCTGAAGCCGCTGAAGCTCAGGATGTGAAACATGTAGGAACCGGTCCGAAGCGCCCCGATGATGCTGAAACCACACAGAACAGAACACAGGTCCATTAGAACAACCACTTAAAAAAGGTCCACTCCATCTGAAGACCTGAGAACTCCTCCCAAACCGGACCGACTGAGGTTCCATTAACTTGACAGGTTAAAGACAACACCAAAGACAGTTGGACAGAAGAGTTCCAGCTGCAACAAAGATGAGTTGTCTTCAAACGATCAAAATCAGGGTTTAAAGATGATCTCTGGGATTTGGCTGCAGAGCAAACATGTCAGCAGCCTGTGAGGAGGCCAACAGGAAGCTGGGAACAGCCACAACCCTTCCCACCCCCAGCCAGGATCTGTGAAAGAGTTCTGGGCCCAAACTGGTCTCACCTGCACCAGACCCCTGAAGAGCCAGGGCGAACTTCAGGAAACGCACAAACATACTAAAAAGGTGATTTAGGAGCCGTCAGCTGAAAGGACCGGACTTGTCTTTGGTGTAAAATCCTCTCCAGACGAGGACCAGCTGAAGGTCTTTAAAAGAAACTGGTCCATCAAAGACCAGAACCAGGACCTCAGAGACTCATGACCACTGCACAGTACAGATATAAATGTTGATTTTGAGGGATCTTCATCTCTGCAGCTTTCAGTCGTTTCATCTGATCGGACAGTAAAAACAGACACACCTGAGCTGCTACAGGTAACCGTTACCATGGAGACGCCACACCTCATTCATCATGTTTGACTAGCAGGTCAGGAATGTGGGTGGGTCAATGCAAAACGTGCTACTGGGCAGGTGTGTGAAGGGTGTGCGTGTGTGTGTGTGTGCGCGAGCGTCTCATTTATGGTTCTTCTTGAAGTCATTAAAACATTTTTGCCTCCAACTCCTACATGTGTCCAGTTAACCACCGTTTGTTTGTCCAAACAGGTCTCACTTGTAAATGAGTCTTAGAGGCTCAATGTGACTTATCAGTTTAAAGAAAAAAAGGTTGAATGGTTGAATTTTATGCTTTAAAAAAAAAAAAAAAAAAAAAAAAAATCAAGTGTTTATGAGACCTCTGAGGGTTTCACAAAATATACGTCTTACCTGAACACGGCGAGGCTGAGGGACCAGAGGACGAGCTGCAGTCGCAGGTCCAGTTTGGGTCGCGTCTTCATGTAATGCCGACCTCCGAACACCAGGGCGGCGTACAGAGCGCTGAACACAAACGACTTGCTCCTGAACGACAGAAGAAGACAATTCGGGTCAAACTGGGCCAGATGATGGGGGTGCCTTGAGACTTGGCCAGATATTTGATCCAAACGAGGTCCGGTTTCAAACCTTGTTGGCCTTTACAGACTTCTTTGACGTTCAGCATGGTGATTTTTTTATTTTATTTTTTTTAAAATCATAATTAAATTTGATGAACTCGCCGCATGTTTCAATCTTTAATGCTTGATTGAAAAAGTCATGACGGACGCAAAACAAATACATTTTTCGTTCCCATCTACTTGAAAACTTTTAGTACCCATTAAATTAATCTGATTAACAAGATATTAAATAATATTTATGTAGGGGTGGCATGGTGGCTCAGTTGGTAGAGCTGTTGCTTCTCAGCAAAAAAGTCACTGGATCAAATCCCAGCTGGGGGCCTTTCTGGGTGGGGAGGAAAAATAAAGTTCCCCATTGGCAGACTGTCACGAGGTCTACACTAAATGTACAGTTTCGTTTTTTTTTTTAAAGTAAAATGAGAAGCGATAAAACAATATTTAAAAATGTCATTTAGGGGGCCAGATAAGATGGTAACATGGGTCATATTTGGATCTCAGGCCTAGAGTTTGACACACGTGATCCAAAGTATCTCTAGGTGAGCGCGAGAGGAAATTGTTGTTTCGTTTGTCTCCATGTGTCCCTGTGATGGACTGGAGACCTGTCCAGGGTGTCCTCCGCCTCACGCACAGTGACGATATGAACACCAGTGACTAAAAATTATTATTCAAATCTTTTGCAATTTTTTTTCTACCCCATCAAAAGTACACATGACGTCATGTACTGTTTGCAGTTATTTATAAATACCCGTAGCCTTTATATGGAGTGAAGAACATGCAATTTCCGGCTTGTCCGGAGAATGTCATCCAGTTGAATAAAGAAGTTGTGTTTGTTGAATGTCAAACGTTTAATTGTTTCATATTAAAATGTTCCCGCAGAGTTAGTGGGTGTGTCACATATTTGAAGTTTCAGAGCATTCTCTTCTCATGTCATCACTGACTGTAGCTCATTCCGGAAGAACCAGGCTGACCGGTAGGATGGATACCCCTGACGTCACTGAGCCTCACCTGAACATCACCCCCATACACAATTGTATTTAAAAAATACACACCATTGTATTTTCGATAACAGGTTTCAATACAGTATAAAGTTTGAATTCCAAGAGTTTATCCCATAACTTTGCCTCAACTATGGCCCTTTTAAGCCTTTACATTTTAACATGGCGGCAGATCTGCATTGTTTGTCCATCTTAAAATGTAAGAACTTATATTTTCTGAATGCGCGACATAAGTTCTTGTTTTTAAGCTTTAATTAAAAAAAAATACAACTAAATAGTCTTTACAGAAATAAACGGATAAAATTATTTACTGTTGCGGTGCATCAGTCAAATGCCTTCTCATTAAATCAGGCCAGTTCAGATGAAACTATATGTCTGGACCAAGAAAGTTTCAAAAACTTCATAAGAATTTATATTTATAAATTGAGAATATTTTACAAACGACGGAATTCTTCTACAATTGGACGCTGGTTCTATGGAATCTGGAACGAAGGTTTGAACAGAGAAACAAATAGGTCTCTATACTGTGAGGGACTCTGGACTCCACCGGAAGCAGCCGAATTAAGTTCGAGCCTAAAAACACTGAAATTAGCTTGTGGGTATCCTGATGCATGCCCAATGATCCAGGTAGATACATCTAACCAGGTAAGTCAGGTAGTTTGGCACAATAGTTAGAAAGTAGTTCCTACCAGTTCTCCTGCATCCACTGGATCGCTCCGCGTTCATCAAAGTGCCGCTCGAAGCTGTACTCAGACAGCTGCACGTGGAACTCCGTCTCATTTACCTGAAACATCTTCACCGAAGCTGGTGCGTCTGTACGACACAGTCTGCACCTGTCCCCTAATTAAAGGCTGTCCGGCGGGGCGGGGCTTCCAGCTGCTCACCTGGAGCGTTCCATTCATAGCAGACAGGTGTGATGAGCGCTCAGCTTGAGAACAAACGTCAGAGGTAAAATATTTTGATGAGACAACACCTGCACATCTGCAGGCTGTTCTCCCAGATTCTTACCCAAATTTCATTTCCCACAATGCAACAGGAAACTAAAGACAGGTTGTTAGAAGTCAGGTAACTTAAAAAAAAGTCAGGTAACTAGGTTATTTAAGAAAATGGCAAGTATATATAGTATATATATATATATATATATATATATATATTTATTTACACACATATACATATATACATATATACATACATATACATATAAGGTGCATGACTTTAAGTACTTGGGCCCACTGTCCAGGAAAATGGGGAATGTGGTAAAGAAGTGAAAAAGAGAGTCCAGGCAGGATGGAGTGGATGGAGAAAAGTTTCAGGAGTGATTTGTGACAAAAAGGTGTCAGCAAAGGTCAAAGTAAAAATTTACAAGACTGTGGTGAGATCAGCTTTGTTGTATGGTCTGGAGACAGTGGCACTGACAAAAAGACAGGAGAAAGAACTGGAAGTGGCAGAAATGAAGATGCTAAGGTTCTCCTTAGGAGGGACAAGTCTGGATAAGATTAGGAATGAGGTAATCAGAGGTACAGCACAGGGTGAACAACTGTGAGATAAAGTTAGGGAGGCCAGACTGAGATTGTTTGGACATGTCAAGAGGAGGGACAGTGGGTATACTGGTAGAAGGATGTTTGAAATGCAGCTGCCAGGAAAAAGACAAAGAGGAGATACATGGATGCAGTTAGAGAGGACATGGAGGTAGTTGGAGTGAGGACAGAGGATGAAGAGAACAGAGTGAGATGGAGGATGACTCGCTGTGGCCAAGGCCAGATTAACCATATGGGCAACTGCCCAGTTGCCCATGATCTCTAAGGGGCCCCGGGCAGTGATGGCACAAGCAGAACATCTGGTTATCTCCTGCTTTACTTGGAGCCCTGCGCTGCACAGAGAGATTGCTGCGCTTCCGCTGCATTTGTGCAGCTCCGCCTCATCCCAGCTCGGCTGCTGCAGCTCGTTTTTTTTTTTTTTTTCAACCAGATCCTCAGAATCAACTCAGAAGGCGTGTCAGTAACTGACCAATCGACAACCTCAATTTGTCCCGAAGGTAAACGCCTCTTACCTGCTGACAAGCTCATCAGCTTTTTTTCCCTTGAGAAACATTGTTTTAATTAAAACAATAAGTTTGTATCTGTTGTGAGATGATTCTATCAGTTTTGCAGATTTTTAATCTACTTAATGAAGAATAGTATGACTTAAAATCTTTCATTAAACAGGAAGGAGGATTTATTATCTCTCCTCTTACTACAGTGAATGTGGTACTTTGCTATAAGTACGACTATATTTATGGCATCAGAGAAAGCTGAGTTTAAGTTATCCACATAAAGTAAAATGTCATCAGCATGAAAAGAAGAAATGTTAAGTTTGAGATTAATCCAGTTTCTGATGTCTGACTAAACACTTTGTATTGACATAAAAAAAATACTCGAGGGATTCATCTTCTGATTTACAGAAGACACACAAATCAACATCAAATTTAAATCTTCTTTGCAGAAACATGGCTACAGGATATATCTTATTTATTATTTTAAAATCATTCTCCTTCACTTTAGGAGATTTAGGTCATTTGACAAATTTAGAATGAGCAGAAATCATTATGGTTTTATGATTTATATTAGGAGGTTTCTTGAAGGAATCTTTGTTATAATCAGTAAATCCTTTGTCACAAACATTCATTGATAATCTTATTACATTTGAAGTCGACTAAGTTACAGCATTTAATTTTAATTTGGGCATCAAATCGTCACCTTTGAATATATATTTTTAATTCACTGAATCAGCTGTTGGTCAGGCTACTTCTTGTTGTGCCATTAGCTCTAAAATAGTTACTGAATCAAGTGTTTCCTTCCATCCATCCACGGGGGTAGCAGCCTAAGTAGGGAGGTCCAGACTTCCCTCTCTCCAGCCACTTGGACCAGCTCCTCCAGGGGAATCCCAAGGTGTTCCAAGTGTTTACTTATGTAGGTAAAACTAGATGTTAAACAACCATTAAAATACACCAGAATGCAAGAAATGGCATCTACTTTATTCAAAATTTTCTGGGGGACGACCTCCAGACCCCCCATCAGTGTGTCCCCTCACACACACATTATAAATGCTTCTGACACCAGTGGCCAACACGTTACTAAACAAGTACACACATGGTGTCATGTGGTGTTCAAAGTGCATTCAACTTAATTCAGTCTTGATGATTTGTGTCAGTGAGCATTTGGAGTTTTATACATAAAAATACACTTGATAGTTAGAATTTTAAGTATATTTGCTGTATATTATGGTAATTTATTTTGTATTTTGCCATATTATGGCGATTCTGGGGTCGTGATGATGGGGCCATTGAAGATTGTTGCCCAGGGTACAGCGAAGTGTTAATCTGGCCCTGGCGGCGACCCC